TGTGTGTGCCAGTCGAAGCTGGTTATTTTCTTGCAAACATCACTAAATTCTAGAAGAGAGAAAAATATGAGCAAAGGAATAGAATGCAAAGCAAAGTTAGACAAATATTAGGGGCGTACGACATCTTATTAAGCCTCCTGTTGCTGTTACTGTTGATGATAATGTAAGTCTTCGAGTATCTGAATCGGTAGATCTACTTGTAACGTTCTGCTATCGTTTCTTCTCGAGATCTGGCAATCCATTCACATGAAAGCCTACTTCAGCCTTTTTTGTGCCTATTCATACATATATGTAAGCATGGGACGGATTAAGTTATGACGAAACCACATATAAAACATGTAGGCCTAGAGATGTGTTGGTACGCAAGACAGTTATTTTGAAGAAAAAAATACCCAACAACAATAACCACAACAATCCCAAAGCAATGGCGAGTAGAAGCTAGCAGTTAATAGTAACACGTCTCTCTTACGAACAAAATACTATCAAGGAGAAAATTGGCTCCTCCTATGTAGGTTTCAAAAGACAAGAACAGGTAGACCAAGACGGATGTTTTAGATCCACACAACTAAGGAAAGTAAGGATATCAGGAATTAGGTCTATAAGGAACAATAACTGAGACAATGACTTTTAACACCAGTTCCTCAAGTGTATTTCTCTATATATGAATCGGGAACATGAAAACTTACTAAACAAACTTTTGAAAAGCTACGGGGGTATTTGTCAGCAGTTGTTAATTTCTTAAGATGGATTCTTAAAATGTATTGTCCTAAAACCATAAGAAATGAACGACAATGGACGCGAACAAATTAACAGAAAACAATTACACATAATCCAAGAGCGATAATGGGGTGAGGAAACAGAAAACATATTATATTACCAATCAAGCCTTAAGATGAAATCCGAATAAAAAGAGAAAGAAAGGATCTGAAGGCCCAAAAGCACTTTGATCCATAGAGGTCCAGAAAAGCGGTGTGTATATTTTCAAGAAACCAAAATAGGTCCAAGCTAAGTTTTAGTTGTGGCCTACGCGCCACAGTATTACTTCCGTACGAATGACAATGGTAGAGAAATCTTAAACATTCAAGGCATGAATGTTTAAAATGTTTTATGTTTTATTAAGTAAGAATTTTACGGCACTTGCAACATAATTTGACCTAACGAATGCCAAAAATTCAAGGTGTTACAATAAGAGAGCAATAAGCAACGTAAAAAATGGAGCAGAGATAAGGATGTGAGGTGTTTTGAGTTTCATAGGAAAGAAGGAACAAACCACACAAGAGCACCCGCCAACAGGCCACGTTTATAATGTTGACCTATTCACAATGTATGATTTACTTAAAAGCACCCTATACAGCAAGGTATAATAATTCTTCTTCTTTTCAGTTCTGTTTATCCAGGGTCTTGAAGATAAAATTCGAATTTGAAGGAAGTGGTACATGTACCGTGACCTTCCGCCGTCCCCCCTCCCCCCGCAAGCATGTGTGTGTGTGTGTGTGTGTGTGTGTGTGTGTGTGTGTGTGTGTGTGTGTGTGTGTGTGTTTTTACGTCGTTATATAGACTAACGTATGTTTGCACAATGACGTTGCGTGGACATACCCCGTTATGTAGACGTCCACAGTCCACATAATGTTTTATGGTCACCTTCGTCTTCTCCGCCATAAATTACATCATGTGTTAAAATATTTTTAATGTTGCTTCCATGGCTGCTTGCCTGTCTAGATATGCCAAAAATGCGGAAACAGGAAGATGAGGTTGAAGACATCGCAATTATTGGACTCATGTATTACTATCTTTAGAGAATGAGGAAAAGACAACAGAGGTGATGGGTACATGAAATATTGCAACAAAGGAAAAGGTTTGGTGTGTACCACCATCTTGTAAAAAAATAGAACATCATCTGGGACCAAATTCCATGGCATTTCATAATGTTGTTGTTACCTTGGTGAAAAGGAAACAGCAGAAACACGCAGTTCTTGTAAATCACCCGGGAATTTCTAGCTTCCTTCTAGTGTCCGTAAAGATTACTCTTCTCTGAGATATCGAATAAGCGTCCCCAGTTTTTTGCGCACCCCCCCCCCCCCGGTTCCTTATCCCAATTGCCACGACCGGTGATCATGTGAAATATTATTCTAGAATTAAGATATATCTAAATGGAACTTCTTTTTTTGTGTGTGAGTGTAAATGGCAAATTACCCTCAGTATTAGTAGCCTACATGTACCGGTATCGTGTTGGCTACTCCAATTTTCTGTGCGTTTTAAAAACTTTTGTACAGTGGTTTATATTTTTTAATGAAATTAGTTTGTTCCTAAATGGGAAAAGTTGTCACAGTAACTTACTAAAATCACTAAAATTTCATGATCTCTTGTTCTTTTATTCACTGAAGGGAAAATAATAGAACAGATTTGTTCCCACTAGTACAGGGGGTATGAGCTTGAATGTGCCCCCCCCCCCCTTATTCCAACCCCCACCGTCATCCCTCTATTAATTTTTGACCACTTGTCCACCACCACCCCCACCTCCCTTTTATTCCATACCTGTACACATGGAAACCGGGCTTTAGCTTGTAGTTTTCAATCGGTGGCTGTCTAGACGTCTCCTCGTGCTCCAAGAGAGTCTCGAAAAATACTCAACCAGTCTCTTGAATAGTGTTTCTAAGGCTTTCGGGCCATAGAAACTCACGTCTCACGCTCATGCCTCACGCCTAAACGCGTGAGTGGGAAAATGAACTGAGGTGCTAGTCTTACTTGCCATGGGCCAAGACCTCTGTTCCGCCTCACACTTCACAGGTCACGGCTCACGCGTGAGCCTAGTAGTGAACATGTTCACTTTTTTTTAGGCGTGAGTTGAGGGCAGACTGGATATCACAGCGTTATTTTGGTGAAAAGGAAACAGCAGAAACACGCAGTT